ACCCGACCAATAATTTCTAACAATGTTACTCCTCGTTGTTCATGTTACATTATTACATTGTTACTTGATATGAATAGATAACGTGTAAATAATAATAATAATAATAATAATAATAATAATAATAATAAGAAGAAGAAGAAGAAGAAGGGAGAATTTATCAAAAGTGTGATGGAGAGTTATTTAAATGAGAATTTTGGAGGTGTAAAGTGCAAGAACTCTGACGAAGAAGCTCTTGGAAAATGGAGGAAACTCTGTGGCGTTGTAAAGAATCCCAAAAGGCGCTTTCGTTTCACTGCCAACATCTCCAAACGTTACGAAGCCGCTGCTATGCGCCGGACCAATCAGGTCGCCGATATAGTTTATATATAATTTGAGTGTATGTTTTGAATCATATTTAGTGCATGTTTGGATACGCGGTGAGAATGACAGAATCATAGTTGGTACATGTTTGAATCTGCCAATCTCACCTTAATCCAGACATGCACTAAGTCAGATTTCTCGGTTTCCAAGTTTCTTTAGAATGATAGGTTGTTGTGACCTTGTCATGTATGGAATATGGATTTTCAATGGCTTTTTATCATTAATGCAGGAGAAGCTAAGAGTTGCTGTTTTGGTTTCGAAAGCTGCGTTTCAATTTATTCAAGGCAAGATTCATAAGAGTTATAGTAAAAATTGTACTAAAACAATCAATTTGTTTACTCTAATTGATTTTATACCCTGCAGGTGTTCAACCAAGCGACTACGTTCTACCTGAGGATGTTAAGGCTGCAGGTTTCCAAATCTGTGCTGAAGAATTGGGATCTATTGTCGAAGGCCACGACGTAAAGAAGCTGAAGTTTCATGGTGGGGTTGATGGCATTGCAGAAAAGCTTTCAACATCGACAACCCAAGGACTCGGTGGCGCGTCTGAATCGCGGAATAGAAGGCAAGAGCTATTCGGGATCAATAAATTTGCTGAAACTGAAATGCGAAGCTTCTGGATTTATGTTTATGAAGCTCTTCAAGACATGACCCTCATGATCCTCGGAGTGTGCGCTTTCGTGTCTCTGATAGTAGGTGTGTTGACGGAAGGATGGCCGAAAGGAGCTCATGATGGTCTTGGAATAGTTGCAAGTATCTTACTTGTTGTCTTTGTGACAGCAACAAGTGATTATCGGCAATCGTTACAGTTTAAGGATTTAGACAAGGAGAAGAAAAAGATTTCTATTCAAGTTACGAGAAACGGTTATAGGCAGAAAATGTCGATATACAATTTACTTCCCGGTGATATTGTCCATCTTAACATTGGAGACCAGGTACCTGCAGATGGACTATTTGTTTCAGGATTTTCGGTGTTGATCGACGAATCAAGTTTAACCGGAGAGAGTGAGCCAATAATGGTTACTTCCCAAAATCCATTTCTTCTATCCGGAACAAAAGTCCAAGATGGATCATGCACTATGTTGATTACCACTGTTGGGATGAGGACTCAGTGGGGTAAATTGATGGCAACTCTTAGTGAAGGCGGAGACGATGAAACACCATTGCAGGTGAAACTTAATGGAGTTGCAACCATTATTGGAAAAATAGGACTAGTCTTTGCAGTGATTACCTTTACAGTTTTGGTTAAAGGACACTTGGGCCGCAAAATCCGCGAAGGAAGATTCTGGAGGTGGTCTGGTGATGATGCAATGGAGATGTTGGAATTCTTTGCTATTGCAGTTACTATTGTTGTCGTTGCCGTTCCAGAAGGTTTACCATTAGCTGTGACATTGAGCCTTGCATTCGCAATGAAGAAGATGATGAATGATAAAGCCTTGGTTAGGCATTTAGCAGCATGTGAAACTATGGGATCAGCCACAACTATATGTAGTGATAAAACCGGTACATTAACAACCAACCGAATGACGGTTGTGAGAACGTGCATTTGTATGAATAGTAAAGAGGTGAACAATCATGACTCTAGTCTTTCATCTGAACTACCAGACTCCGCTGCAAAACTGCTGCTACAGTCTATATTTAATAACACTGGAGGTGAGGTTGTGTATAACAAAAAAGGAAAACGTGAGATATTAGGGACGCCGACCGAATCAGCAATATTGGAATTTGGTTTGTCACAAGGTGGTGATTCTAAGGCTGAGAGAAAAGCTTGCAAAATTGTTAAAGTTGAGCCATTCAACTCTGAGAAGAAAAGAATGGGAGTAGTTGTGGAGCTACCTGATGGAAGTTTAAGAGCTCATTGCAAAGGTGCTTCTGAAATAATTCTAGCTGCCTGTGACAAAGTACTTGGTTCAAACGGCGAAGTTGTCGGGCTTGATGGAGAATCGAGTAATTATCTTAACAATATTATAAACCAGTTTGCTAATGAGGCACTTAGAACTCTTTGTCTTGCCTATATGGAATTGGAAAACGGGTTTGCTGCCGATGATCCAATTCCTTCTTCTGGCTACACTTGTATTGGAATTGTTGGTATCAAAGATCCGGTTCGCCCTGGTGTTAAGGAGTCTGTCGCACAGTGTCGTTCGGCTGGAATAGTGGTGAGAATGGTTACAGGAGACAATATTAACACTGCAAAGGCTATAGCCAGGGAATGTGGAATTTTAACAGATGATGGCATAGCTATTGAAGGTCCTGACTTCAGAGAGAAGACTCAAGAGGAATTGTTTGAACTTATTCCCAAAATTCAGGTGCTTCGTATTTTCTATATGCATAATAATATCTCTGATTGATGCTGTTTCTGTTTCTGAGTTCAGCTATGGTTGATTTGTCGATGCTTTCAATAACTCAGTATATTTTGTTTCAGGTTATGGCTAGATCATCACCTTTAGACAAACATACATTGGTGAGACAGCTGCGTACAACATTCGGGGAAGTTGTAGCTGTAACCGGTGATGGAACAAATGATGCTCCGGCGCTTCATGAAGCCGACATCGGACTTGCAATGGGAATTGCTGGAACTGAGGTGAGTGAAATGCAATGCAATGCAAAGGCTCATACAAATCATGTAGCTTTGTCCTCAAGGCATTCTTGAAAAGCATGAACCGCGGAACATAGAGTTCTGCTAATTTTATAATTCATATGCAGGTTGCTAAAGAAAGTGCAGATGTTATAATTCTTGATGATAATTTCTCCACAATAGTGACAGTGGCGAGATGGGGACGTTCGGTTTACATCAATATCCAGAAGTTCGTACAGTTTCAGCTTACTGTAAACGTGGTTGCATTACTTGTGAACTTCTCATCAGCCTGCATGACAGGTTAGAAAATTAGCCCAACATGATGGGGGGCAATGTGTTAAAATCATTAAAAGAAATATGATTTTTTTCTTTTCCTTATGTGTATTTGATCTCCAGGCAGTGCACCACTCACAGCAGTTCAACTTTTGTGGGTGAATATGATAATGGACACTTTGGGAGCACTTGCACTTGCAACTGAACCTCCAACTGATGATTTGATGAAGCGTGAACCGGTGGGAAGGAAAGGTGATTTCATCAGTACTGTCATGTGGAGAAATATCTTAGGACAAGCATTGTATCAGTTTGTGGTGATTTGGTTTCTTCAGTCAGTAGGAAAATGGGTCTTTTTTCTTAGAGGCCCCAATGCTGATATAGTCTTAAACACACTCATTTTCAACACATTTGTCTTCTGTCAGGTAAAAAAAATGAATAGGAAAATGATTACACATCATACTTGTATTATAACCGTAGTTATTATCAGTAACTTACAATATATGCAAGTCGTATCTCGATTTATTGATAAATCATGTGTCTTACAAATCATAATCAGATATGATTCCTGATTCTCTACAGGTTTTCAATGAGATTAACTCTCGCGAGATGGAGGAAATAGATGTTTTTAAGGGCATATGGGATAATCACGTGTTCGTGACAGTCATCAGTGTAACTGTAGTCTTCCAAATCATAATAGTTGAGTACCTTGGAACCTTTGCAAATACAACACCTCTATCTCTGGTACAATGGATCTTTTGCTTAGGGGTCGGATATATGGGCTTGCCAATCGCAATTCACTTAAAGCAGATACAAGTCTGAACCTTGGAAGCATCCATGTATCTATTTCTCAAAAAGAAGTTGAATGTTAACTGTGGTTACAATGCTTTGGAGTTCCATACTATTCTTTGTACATTCACTGACAGAAGCTTTCTTGGGTTGGAACCAGAAGTTGAGCAGGAAAGTAGAAATTATGATAGTCAAATATATAAGTTACTATCAAATCATCACTTAAACCAATTTATATTAAATATATTTGCTTACTTTTCAAGCTCAGTAGAATGGTAGACTGAGAAAAGATAAGTTTTTTTTTTTATTGTTGTCTTTTGTCATTTGTTAGATTCAAAATGAGTTTGTACAAGTATGCTTCCAAGTTTGTAGTACTTTTCAATGTAACAATTTTGTTTTTTCATGAATAGAAAATCAAATGTGTAATAAAATTGTCGTTTCTAGTAGACTCAAATATGATTTTCGTGTGAGTTCTTTGCATAAACTGAATATAACCACCAATTACATGAGAGGGAGGGAATTGGAGAGAGGTTACTTCCATTGTTCTTATATTATGTCTATACTAATCCAATATCAATATGAATTGATTACCCAATTTTCAGTTATTTATACTCCTAAAATCAGCACGCATAAAGGAATATTGCAGCAAAACTGCTATTTATTATTGAGTCAAAAAATACATATATAAATAAACATTCTGTAATATTAAAATGTGTGGGACTCTAATCTAATAAGAATCTCTCTTAACTAGCATATGCCAATGTAAGAAATGTGTCAGAGCTTGTTTTCTTCCCCACCATCCATGTAAGTGTTTAATGTTCAATCTCGCCGAAAGCTGTCCTCCTGTACTATTACCAATGGAATGGTATTCTCTATCTTGTTATTGGGAGAAAACCTGTTTATACACCTAAAGACCTAATGATGGAAAAGGGGAAATTAAATTTGGGAAAACATTATTGTCATTGATTTGGTTTGAGAAACTATTGTCTCTTTCATATTCACAATACTAGGGTGATAAACTTTCCTCATCTGAACTTGTGTCTTGTCTTGCACGGTACCTGTTGAGAACAGGTAACGATGCACTTGCGGCAATCCTAAACGATCTGGATGAATTGGTTGCAGTTCTATCCTGCATCTTTCCCACTTCTTTGCAAACTTGATCCAAAATATTTAGGAAGTCTCTTACAATCATAAAAATTCTGAAAGGGTGGGCTTCTTCCTTTGTTGTATCCCCATGAAAGTATTCTGTAACTTCTTTCACAAGGAATAAGGCCCTTATCTCATCAGCTTTGATCCTTAATATTTTCTCTTCGGCATCTTTCATAAATATCTCTGTTGAGTTAAAGAAGTTCCCTTGCATATCTGGTTTTACATACTGCAAAATCAATCTCACTTTATCAAGCCCCATTTCAAGCTTTATTACATAGCTGCTTAAGACATCTGAGTCCATTCCTGCTGCCTTTTTTACATTACCAAAGTCTCTACTTAATCCAGCCACAACCTGTAATCCTTTCTTTTTGAACTCATCCTCGTTGAACTGGGAATTTGTTTGGCTTTGAACATTCTCATTTGCAGATTCACCACCTGTACCTTCAGATCTAATAATTTCTTGAACAACAAAATGGAGCAATGTGGTCTTCCCATCAGTTCCTTTTATATCTGCAAGTTTCAGGAGTGTATCTAGTTTGAAAGATTTAGCATCACCGCGATTGGTTCCAACATTCATTCTATTTCCTGTCCTGAGAACAGCTTCAAGGAGTTTGAGGAATAATCGGCTGTTCTTTAGTTCCTCGCTTGCTGCCTGAGATATATTAACAGCTAGTTGATTAGTTTAATTATGAAGTGCATGTTTAGAAACTCACCGCCCATCCGAACATATACGGAAAGAAAATATAGTTAAAAGAAAGAGATCAAAGATAACAAGGAATTGATATAAAGCTGGCCACACACACCTCCAGGGTTTGAAAGGATTTCTTAAGGTAGTTAACTTCTGTTTCAAAATTAGCTCTGTATAGCATGGCTTCAACTCTTTTAAAAGCTAAAGGGACATCAAGCACTGCTTTAAGAAATCTTTCTGCAGGCCCAAGTTTTGAAAGATCACCATCATGATGTTTTAATTTTATTTCCTCCTCCTTTGTTGGAGCCATCTTAACTAATGTTTCCAGTAACTCAGCACCCAAACCTTCAGGATTCCCTGTGTCATTCCATAAAAGCAAAACCATAAACAAAGTTTGCAATAAATTAGTACATCTATCTATATTATTTACTAAACAACACCCAAGTTGGATGGCCAATGTTGAGATAGAAAGGATAAAGGAACAGTGACACAGAAGCAAAAGAATGATACTAAAAAAGAATAATCACACGCTTAAGGAATAAAAGAAGGAATATATGAGGGCTAAACTGTTAAAGGAAGCAGCAAAAATAGTAAATGATCAGTCTTAATCACGTGCCAGTCATGAATCACAAAAGCATTGCTTTTAGAACAAGCTTGAACGTTAAAGCTAAAAAGGTAATAGGGTTCATTATGATGGCAAGGAAAGTATCAAGTTTGATAAGAATAACAGGAAAAAAGTAGAAGAAAAATAGAGTTTGACAATAATTAATGAACATGACATGCTTTATGTTTGATCATTGTTCAATACTTCTAGAGGACGTTAACTAAAGAAAAAAAAAAACTCATGTTCAAGATTGAAAAGAGATAAAGTTTGAAAAAAGTTTCTAAATAGTGACACATCTATATATACTACCCAATCTTTTATCGGCATCATTGGAATCTCAAAGAACCTAGTTTTTCATATATATCCCCTAAAACAACCTAATGATAGACAATGGACGGTGTTGTTTGGCGGAATCACATAGGATCATTGTGGTTTTGATGAAAACTACACTTTCAAATTCAATATTCCCGGTACTCCAAACTCACCATCAATTTAACATGAACTTCTCCATTTGGCAGAATCACATAGTATACCATAGGAGTCTAGGATAAAACACTTTGTTCTTAAGTAAGCTAAGCACTCATTTTCAAAAAGAATTCATTATGTTTAAACTGCTACCCTAGAGTTCTATACAACAAAATAAAGCCCTTTGACATTAAAGTCTAAAGTCTAAAGTCTAATTAATATTGAGAAATATAGTAAAGAATAATGAATTAAACTTACCATCTAAAAGAGCTTCAGAAACCTCATCTCTTGTGACATTCAATGCCCTGAGTAGTATAGCTATGTTTTGGGATTTTTTTGGATCTAACACCCTATTCTCTTGTTCAACTGAGGCAAAAACTGGTTTCCTGTTAACAGACATTTCTTTAGGTTTCGGTGCAGAATTTAATGAATTACAACCAAACAGAGTCTCCATCATGTCCTCGTTTAACCTGCATTACCATAAACAAATAATAATTTATTGTAATTAGTACTTGTAATTCACAATCTATAAACTAAATATCCCTCAAACCTAAAATTATAGTATTGTATATAGTATGTTAATTAATTAACTTACTGAAATGAGCTCGATTTTAATTGGTCCCATACAGTAGCACGATCTGAAGTAGCACGCACTTTATCCCAATGCAGAGGTTTCAACTTAGGTTTTCCCTCATCCATTTCAATTTCATCATCTTCCTTCGAAACTTTCTTGACATTCAAACTGTTACCAGATGCAGAATCCTCTCCATGACTTCGTGGCTGAGTCCATTGATACTTTCGTGAAGCAGAAGAAGAAGATGCACTAACTACCGGCGACCTAAAATTTCTCGGAGGCGGAGGTGGTGGAGGTGGAGGAGGTAAACTGAGTGAATCCCTTAAGTCATTTGAATGAAGATGCGTCAAATTGGGCGCTGGTGGCGGCGATGAGAATTTCGGTCTTCTAGAAGGACCACCTAACGTCGCTTCTTTCTCAACTTGCTTAATCGAAGGTATCATCGCGTGTTTGATATCCGGCGGAGAACCAGATAATCGAGATTTCGGAGAAGTTCTCTTCGAAAAAGGAACCACCGGAGAAACCGAAACCGGCGCTGTAGGGCTTCCGTTTGCAAGAGAACTCTGACGCGAAACCGGCGTATAATAGCTTTCTTCACGGCTGAGATTATGAGAAGAAGACTCCTGCGGTGAATGGAACTCCATCTCCGTCTCGCGGCTTTCATCGTTATCCGACGAAGATGACGACGACACCGCCGGTGGCGAGTGACTATCCACAACGAGAGACTTCGTAAGAGGCGGCAACGGATGCAACTCGGGACTCGGCCGGTAACGGTTACCGATAGGATTAATCTTGTGAGGGTTAGCTACACCTACCGACGTTCCGTTTGGTTCTACCACAGTTCCAATGTAGAGGAAACTTGAAGGCTGTTGTGGAGCCATCGTGGAATCTTCTAGAACTCTTTGAGAATTCTCACCGACGAGCTTCATTTTATCCGATTCCGAAGAAGGTTTAGTTCTCTGCTTATACAAGAAGAAAGCGACTACAGAGAACATCACAAATAACGAAAATGCAATGGAAACCGCAATCGCAACTTTCTTAGCAGGCTCCGCAGGTTTCGTCGCCGTCGGATTTGCAATTGTAGCGTTGTAGGATGACGACGGTACATTCTGGTTGTTTTCCACGGGAGGCGGTGGTGTTCCTGCTGGAAACTCATTGAAAAATGGAATGTCAGGGGAGGAGGGAGTTGTATCCGGAGGCGGAGGAGGATAGAGCTCCGGCGGCGGAGCAGAACTTACTGGAAACAAAAACGGTTGGTGCAGGTTTCTTCTGTTGGGAAGTGGTGTTAGTGTTGTTAGAGAAAATAATGATAATAAAATGATAAAAAAGAAGTTGAAATGATAATGATAATAAGTTTTGAATTCCATGGTGAATTAGTTTTTCTCTACTCTTCTCTATTTGAATTTCATGGTTCTTTGTTTCCTTTTGTTCCTCACACTCCAAAAAAAGAGGGAGGAAATTTCCTGATTCCTTTACTGTTCTACACTGCACTCATAGATAACTTTTTTCTGAACACAAGCATCTCATTGGTGTATTTTTTTTTCTTTTTTATTTATTTCTTAGCATTAAATAATATGAATGAAAAACACAACATCAATAAGGACTAGTAGAATGGATGGATATGGATAGATAGTGACACCTCCTCTGCATCATTTTTTTAACTCAATGTAATAATGTATCCATAATTCACAACCAAAAAGAAATACATAATTGATAACTTTTTATTTGGGAAAAATAATATTCCCTTTGGTTGGTGGTAAGAGCAAGGCACAAACAAACTCTATCTTTTACGATGCCTTAAATGCCACTGGCCATTTTGCTACTTTATCTTTTCTTAGCTGAGTAGTTAATTATAGAGAGGTTGTAGGAAAATGAGTAAGAAAAATAATAATACTAGTAGAGGGAAGAAATAAACAAAGATTTAGTTAGGAGCATGCCATATATGGTCAATTCAAAAATGAGCAACAAGAGAACATGCAAAATGTGTACCCAATAAGTGTGAATTGGGTTTTATGTTTTGCATGTTTGGCATATTAGTCAAGTGGACGGTGTGATAATTGATGACGATTCTTAATCACACGATTGCAACATATTACCTACTTAGGGTATGGAAAAATGAAGGTGTTACTAAATAAGGGTGTGGTAAAAATATGTTAACAATATATTAGAATTTGTGTTCAATGTTTTGAGAATAATAGAATTGCTATGAGGAAAAGGATGAGGTGTCAGTGTATGTTCATTTATTATTTCATTATTCATTGTATATAAAAGGATAAGGAAAAGCTAAAATACCATGAGGAATGAAATGGAAAACCAACTTAATAGATACTTAGTGCAAAAACTGAATTTATAGATTATAGTGACATCTAGATAAAATGGGATGCGGTAACAATTTTACAACTAAATTGATGACTTGAAAGATTATAAGCTTTTTGTTAATAATTTGCTTATCATATCGCCACAATATTACTCGTGGTCGTTCCTAAAAGAATCTAATTGCTATGCACATTAGAATGATAAGTTTGACCATTAAATTAAGTGTTGCACAAAGTATACTCATGATATTTGACAAAATGTTTCATGTTTTTGAAATTTTCTAACAGCCAATCATTATCTTACATGTAAAAGGAAGTCAATTTTACATGTGTTAAAAAATATCAATTTTGAACTACATCAAAAGGCATCTGATTTACATAATATTTTACCGTATTCAAAATAGAAGTACTTTAAAGCGAAAGAAAATTATTTTATGTTCAAACAAATAGCTATGTTTAGAGACATTTTTCCATTGTAATTCAAAGACCGTGCTCTCATCCCAAATCAATTGACATAGTTACAAGTTATAAAAAAATAGGCATAATTAATTCCTTTAACTTAATTTAATATTTTGTTTTGGTCTCTTAACAAAAAAAAATATTATAAATTAATCTTTTAAGAATTGTTCTGATACACAAAAAGATTGTTGTCATTAAAAATACAAAAAAAAAAAAATTAACTTGACTACGTAGCATGATAGGTTGACAAACTGAGTCAGCATATATATTAAAAAATAATATTTTGTTTAAACTAAAGAGATTTTATTTTAGGAGGTTAAAAATCCCCCACAAACTATTAATAATATGTAAAAAAAATATCAAACACTTTCATGAAGATGTCCAACTACAACATATTCAACTATCACAACATCTAAAGTATAGCAATCTACAACATATTGTTTGACTCATTCAAGTTCAGTGCTAACAAGAAGATGTTCAACTTCTTTCTAAAATGACAAAAGTATCTTCTGATTGAACCTTTTAGTTTTTTCAACGCGTGAAATTTTATCCTCAGTTTGCCACATAAAGACATATGGAGATGCGGGAATTCAAGTTTCAAGTACTGGTTAACAAGCTGAACTTGAGAAGCAAATATGATATCTTCCTTATACAGCTTTGAAACTCTTTGTTGTACGTCAGTAGGCTTGTACAAAGATGCAAAAGCCCAAAAGAGATGTGAAAGTTCTTGACCGTTGAGAAAGTGAATTATTTCTGAAGCTCTTTTCGACAATTTGCAAAAAGATCAGGAACTGAATGTTGCATTAAAGCAAAAGCACTTGTAATATTCCCTAGTTTCCTACTTATGATGAATACACAACACTTAAATATGATGAATGTTTCAGAAAAATTAATGAACAAAAAGAACCCAATTCATTTGCAATTAAAAAAACTTATTTGTAATTAAAAAAACTTAGTGGATTAAAGGGATAAAAGAAAAAGGACGAAAATTGAGATTTTAAAATTTACCAAGAAAGAATGAAGGCAACATTTATCTGGAGCACGAGCATTCACCGGTGCAAGTTGTGAGATAAAAACATATTGTGCATCTAAACCTTAGACGACCTACACATTGTGAATCTAAATCTCGGTAATTGTGGAAATAGAGAAAGAGGGTATGACATCTAGGGTTCTAATGAATCATATGAATATTAAATATTTATAATATAAAAATCCAAAATAAAATGAGGTCATACCTTCCACATAGGTAGTTAATATTTTTTTGTTGAAATTTTAACCGCATGGATCAATTACGCTAAGGAAACTGTTTTAAGGGACTATAATGTAACAAATAAATGAATCTGAACCATTAGACATTTTATAATAATGTCTATTCATTCTCATATTCTCACATAAAAATGGCATCATATATATATATATATATATATATATATATATATATATATATATATATATATATATATATATATATATATATATATATATATATATATATATATATATATATATATATATATATATATATATATATATATATATATATATATATATATATATATATATATATATATATATATATATATATATATATATATATATATATATATATATATATATATATATATATATATATATATATATATATATATATAAAAATAATGAGAATGTTATTTTAATAGGAGAATGATAAGAATAATTATTAACAGTTAGATTAAAATTAAATAGTTGAGATTAAAAAGCTCTGAAATTTTGGCAAGCTGATCACAGGTGTTCTAAGAGATGTTGAGACATTGATCTCTGCATAAAACTGAACAAGGACAGAAATATTTTGTTCTCTTAAAAAAACAAGAACGCTCTGAACCTTCAAGGTCAAAACAGTGTCATGACAAATGTTTCAACATCTGTCAAAACATGTGCTTTAGAGTACAGATACAGACTGAACAAATCATAACAGAACGAAAAATAACACAAGATATGATAACGCAGTTTGGTGAAGTTCAACACCTACATCTGGGGGCTACCAAAGTAGGAATGAATTCACTATTAGCAGTATTAATTTAGAGCTAAACTCCCCTGTTTACAACTCCTCACTTAATCACTACCTGGTACAATTCTATCTAGAAATCACCATCTAGATAAGAGAACCCCATCTCAATTCCTAAATCACTTCAGTGATATCTAACAGTTACAATCCCCAACAACTGCATCAGACTGTTCAGTTGAAAGACATTCCTTCCAATACAATATTTAGTCAAGACTCTTGACTAACAAACATGCATGGATTTGCTTAAAAGCTTCATCTAAGAACAATACACAATTCATTACCTACAAATTTATGAATCTGTAAAACCATGTCTACCACAATGCATCAATCTATACAAAGGGTGACTTACAACACAAGAAAGTACACGACTCTCAAAACCCTAAATCATTATTTTCTACTTTATAAAAGTCTTAATAAGAACTCATATTCTACCCTAGATCTTGGTCTTCCTTTGTATAGCCTTCAGTTGTCCATGGGTTTCGAAGTCTCTGTTTAATCTTTCCTTGACCCATGTTCTGATTGCTTCTTAAATTTTAGACCAAATCTGCAACAAATTTGTTGCACCAGATCAAGATGTCGAGTCCACAATGCTAGGACATCTTGACTGACATGTCTTCCTTCAGCAACTTTCATCATGTTGGAACATCTTGTTCAACATCGTATTTTACCAAAATTTTAGTCAAATCTTTTAGACCCTTCAAGCTCTAATGAGAATGCTATTTTTGTATGAGAATGATAAGAATAATTATTAGCCTTTAGATTAAGGCTCTGTTTGGTAAGCCACAATTTTGAGCTTATAGCTTATAAGTTCATATAACAATTTAGACTTGTTTGGTAACGAATTTTTATCACGAGCTTATAGCTTATTTTGCTAACTTATAGCTAATTTTTCAGACGTTATTTCAAATAGCATTTTAGCTTATAGCTTATAACTTATCATATTTTCTTCCATTTTATCTTTATTATTTAAAAAAAAACTCTTTTTTATCCTTTATAATTTATTTTAGTTTAAAATAAAATAAATATGTATTAAATATCTTTTATGTCATTTTACATTATAAGTTAGTTGAACCGTTAATTTTATCAAATACTTCAATTAGCTTATCAGCTATCAATCATCCACCATCAGCTATAAGTTATAAGCTATCAGTCATCAGCCATCACTTATAAGATATAAGCTAGTTTATCACCGCTATTTTTACCAAGCAGAGCCTAAAATTAAATGGTTGAGATTAAAAAGCTCATTTAAGGAACATGTGTGTCTCATTCATATGAATAATAAATTATGAAAGAGACACACATGTTTTTTAAATGAATTTTTTAATCTCAAAAATTTATTTTTAATCTAAAGACTAATAATTATTCTTATCATTCTCGTATAAAAATAACATTCTCATTAGATGTGTCCATATATATATATATATATATATATATATATATATATATATATATATATATATATATATATATATATATATATATATATATATATATATATATATATATATATATATATATATATATATATATATTCATCACTATAAAAATA